AGATCTCACTCTTCAGAGCACACTGCACAAAACAATGGGTCAAACTCACTCCAACAGAAAAACATATACATCATAGGAGTTACAAGAGGAACAGATATGGCCCCAAATGGTCAGATAACATTTAGGGTGACCTTTTCCTTGGGCCTCATTTACTGCATCTGCAGTATGTGTGGGCTAATCCATTTCCATATTCAAAACCCATCATTTGGATCTAAAAGCAGCCTGGTAAAACTCACATGGACTTCAACAGGAGCAGAGTCAGGCCAATGCTAAGTGTTGTTGAAAATCCCACATTAGTCTCTGACCCAAACTTGGGTACGAGCACATGATTAAGCATGTTTTACCTTTGGATAGCACCACTGATTACGTGTGTTGCCTATCATAGTCTAACTGTCCTTTTATAAGCATCTCTTTCCTGCTTGCAAGGAAGCAGTATATCAGTTTTCAAGACTTTGCCTTCCTGACTGGTACCACTGTTGGAAAGATTTTCAAATTGAGATATTGAGGAAGAGATATACTGAAATATAGCTAGTGATGATAGCAATATACAGAAACATGTAGGTAAGAAGTTACAGCTGAGTGTGCAAATATTCATATTCTCATGCCCCGTTGTGGCTGCAGCTGCAAAAATTATGGCCACCATTAAAGGTTAAAAGATTATATTTTTCTGGGACAGTCCCAGTTTTTCATAAGATGTCCCATATCCAAGGAACTTTCTTAAGGATGCCTGAAATGCCTCCCCCACCCCATTTTCCTCCTATTTCATTAATCAAAATGTTTAGGGTTTTTGTGTAACTTATAACTATAAGGTTCCAGACTTATTGCTATAACGAACAGTAAACACTTCTTGCATCCATTTCACTCCCATCACGTAAAACGTGTGCATTTCACATCAGCCATTATTCGAGGTCAAAATTTGGCATAATATGTCAGGCAATGACATTGTACAAGGAGTCTGATGAGTCCATAATGCACCTAGTCAACACAACTCCATGCTCTGACCCCTCAGGAATGGGAGGGAAAATACAGGGAGCTGATGGGGCACAGGAGACTGTGGGGAGGTTGTAAGGGGCACAGGAACTTGTGCAGGACAGGCAGTGGGATGAGACAGTGCTAAGAGGGAGGGGGATGGAGCTGGATACAATGGCAGCTCCCCAGGGGACAGGAGAGGGTGAGGGAATCCCCTCCAAGCAGCCAGCAGGGAGGCATGCATTTCTGTGTGTGCATTTGAGATCTAGCTCTGCACCTGAAATGATCCCACGTAGATCAGGAGGGGGAGACTTCCCCCTAAAGGCTCCAATATCAAGAGGCAGGTGAAAAACAAGGAGACAGATCATTGTTAGGCCAATTTTGGGATTTTGTGGAGTCCGACCCCAGAGGTTTGAATGCCAGGGGTTGACAGTATTGGGTATGATGACCCATGCCATGGAGAAGAGGGCAGCAAAGGGCAGGGGTGCGAAGGGAGAAGAGGCAGAATTCCGCCTCTTTCAGATCTGTTTTGTCACTGTCCGTGAGCACTCTGCAACCCTGCTGTGACAGCATCAGGTTTTGATTTTGAAAATAAATGGCCCCCCTTAATCGCTTCCTTGGGAGATTGGTCCTGGGGATGTAATTAAAGGCCACAGAAACGAGTAGATTCAAAGTGACAGCACTGAAAGCACAGGTGCAATCACAGTGGGTGTGGGACACTGGAGGGGAACAGGGGACAGACATGTCCTACAGCTTTTCACTCTCCTGTTAATGTTCCACATGAGGCAACCCTAACCCTCACTCCTGATCCTCCTCACTGAGCCTGGATTCCCACAGGAAATCTCTGGGGAGATCCTCTTCTAGTTTCCCCCTTGTTGTGCCATAGGGCCCCTCCTCAAACCTGACAGATCGCAGGAGATGCATGGGAGGCCAGGGCTATTTATACAAGAGCCCTGTGCTTCTGCACTGGCAATGGCATGAAAGTGACGGGGGAAGGATGAGGGAATTGTTGATGCACTGTCAGCAACTGGAAGTGTGTTTATGATTAGAAAGGCACTTAAGTTGCAAGAGCCAGAAACAGGTCTGGACTGGAAACACCCCTGAGTTCTGGGGGTTTGGATCCAGCACAGGAGGACAACACTGGGAAAGGGATGGAGCAAGGAACGAGTCTGATGGTCAGACAGGGAAAAGACTTACAGGGACCACAAGGCCAAAGATCAATGGAGCTCATTTAAATCACCAGATAAAGAGCTCATCCAGGAAAAGATGACAAGAGACCCACTGGATTGCAGAGAACCCCTCCAAAGGCAGTCAGGTTGAGGACAGGGGAGAGGCAGCAGCCCTCTCTCATCCTCCCAATCTGATGCAGTTGGTTATATCTTTAATAAAAATATCAGGAGAGTCCAGCCCCTTCTGCTCTCCCTGCTGGAATCAGGTAAGGCATTACAGGGTGAGGTCAATGTTAACTCCCACTCCCTGTATGGGTGAGGGGGTTGGAATAGGAGCTGAGCAGCCTGATGTCCTTCAACTTCATTTACACGAGTTCCCCACCTCCACACCCTGAGCAGCTCTGCAATGCTTCCCCATCCAGCACAGGAGCAGGACGGGAGGGGAGGCGGGGCAGGGCAGATCACTTCCCTTCCCCAGACACTGGGCCAGGCTTTCCTAGGAGACATACACTCTGTTGCAAGAGGGTACATGACCTTCTGGGACTTAATCATATTAAAAAACTGTAACTGATGGTCAAGAATGAACCTTATAGCGGCTATCCATCCACCAGACTCCAGTGCTGCCAGCTCTTATGGTTTCATTGCAAGTAGGGTGACCAAACAGCAAGTGTGAAAAATCGGGATGGGCGATAATAGGAGCCTATATAAGAAAAAGACCCAAAAATCAGGGCTGTCCCTATAAAATTGGGACATCTGGTCACCCTAATTGCAAGTCTCATGACATATGTTGTTCTTCTTAAAGCCCCAGCTCCTGGAGTTATGTAGTTATGTCAGAATCTCAGCTCTTTTTTTTTTTTTTTTTTTGGTTAGGTAAGTTTTTAGTTTTCCTGACCATGGAGAAAAGCTTGAAAATGTGAGCCCTGAAAGCCCTCAAATCAGAAAGACATGCTCATGGTTTGGGGGACCTGGCTCATGATTTTGAATACTTGGGAATGGCAGTACTGAGGACCTAACAGGAGTATCTCATCAGGGGGCAGTGTAACACCCTTTCATTTTCTATTGATAGGGATTACCTGATATAATCCACCTTTCACTGCTACCCTTGCAGAGTTAGGTGGTCACCCTTATTTGGTATTAAAAAATGCATCCTGGTGCCCATCTCAACACACACCCTCTGTTGTATATCAGAGAAAATGCATAACAATGTCCCACTTTCCCACAGAGTGATGTCACCACAGTCCTTTACGAAGCAGGGCACTCCTTTCCTCAAGAAATACTCTGAGAGCCTCGCTGTATTTTGATAAACTGAGAGCCTCCACGGGTAGCATAACACTTATGTAGATACAGCTCCAATACATACACAACGAGCAGAGCTGTAAACAGAGTATCTAGATAGACGGTACAGTATGTATATGTACATCTATAAATTCATACACACATGTATTGTTTAGGAGAGAGAGAAGAAGCGTGTATTTTGTTCTCACGGGTCTGTGACCCCCCACCCACCCTTGGGGGAGCCTGGCGCTCAGTGTCATCATTTTGTAGATGTGTGGTTGGGGAGGTATGGGAAGACCTTACAGTGGAAGGGGGAGAGGCTTTTAGTTCTTCTGAAGCTACCCAAGACTTTCCTGTCTGCTAAAATAAAGTGATACATTCAACACCTCTTTAAAAGAGATAATCTATCAGACTCGACAGGATACTAGCAAATCCTGCTTATTAGCAAAACAATCAGAAAAGAAGAGCTTGTTCATGAAAACCCCCTGAGATTTTCCTTTAAAAAAAAGTATAAAGGTAAAATATAAACACATAGTAAGGAGATATGTCTGTGTTCCTTAAACAGAAATATGCTTTTGCATTAGTATTTCAGAAGATGAAATAACACTTTCAATAGCGTAGTCAATAAAGTTACCCTTATGGAAAAATCCTGTGGAATTTAATAGGCATGAAACCCAAACTGTTCTGTAGAAAAGCAACAAAGGTCTATAGATAGTTGAAATATTAAATTCTAGGATGATTAAAAAATAGAAAGGGTTATTTTCTGTTTTATAAACTTTTTAGAGTACTTTTATACAGCTGGATTACACTTCTATTGAATGCTATTGGTTTCACCCATATTACATAATGCAGGACTATTCCATGAGGGATTTTCATATATGTAAATGCATAGTTTCCATAAAGGCAATTGTCTATTGACTTTAAGGTAATGATGCCTTGTTAGGATATTTGTCAGAGACATAAAATAACCACTGGATGCATTATTATTTCTAACAGTGGAGATTGTTTTGTGTTTCAAAGCCTCCGTTTGGATATACGGTAGGAGAGGTTCATATCTTGCAAGTAAAAAGTGCAATCAATTCAATATGATAATAAAATAGATTAAAAAGCCCAGAAATTTAGAAGAAATTCTCCCAGGTGTAACAATAGGCTGTAACCAGTTGAGTTGCTCCCTGGGAATCTGTGTAAATTGAGCAAGGAGCCATGTGATCTGCTCAGTGCTCCCATTTTGAATCTCTTCTTCTTAACAAAAGCTTTCTGCAAAGCAAAGCTTTTGTAGGCAGGACATCTGTCGCTGTTTGTGGGGGCAAGTTGGCCATTGAAAAGAAGCAGTGACCTGTCAGCCTTGATTGATGGCCACAAGCCTCTGGTCTCGACCCCTCATGTGGGAAAAGAAGTCCAGCCAAGGAATGCCCTTATTCACATGTTAATTCTGGGCTATAAATACAGGCAGCCTTACAGAGGAGAGGCAAGAGAAGCAAAGAACCCTTCTGAAAAAGGAACAGCCGGCTACCCAAGTGCTTTCTTTCCCCCTTGCTTCCCAGCATTTAGGGCCAGACAAGCTGGATTATAATGACTGCCACGGCTATGGCCAGCAATGTGCAGAAACTTTCCAACACCAAAGAGGAAAGGAAGGTAGGTCATTTTATATACAGATTTACACCTACCCTGACATGTGTGGTGTATGGATACTGCACATAAGCATGTGGACTATTATTTAGACAACACTCACTGTAGATGGTGCTTCACAACTGCAAAAATGATAGACCAAAAATAATTCCTTTCATTATAAAGATGTTTACAGGGTGTTTTTAACACTCTGGGCTGCATTTTCTTCTCACTTTACACTGATTTTACATTGGTATATCTCTGCTGACTTCAGTTGAATTACTTCTAATGTACACCAGTTTAAGGAGAGCAGACTCAAGCTTAATATGCATAAGAAAGCGTTAAACTGGCAGAGTGGTAATGAGATTATAGAGCATACAATGTCTCTCCTACTTCGTACCACATCACCCTTGGATCCTCTGATGCCACTTGTAGAATGTGGCTCTTAAGGATTAAAAATGAGGGGCCCAATCTGTCCCCGACACTGTCCCCAATGGGAGTTCTGCCAGTGAGTGCAGTGGGAGCAGATTTTATTGTGATAAAACCTTGACATTCCACCTCATAAATCCTATTTTCTTTTTTAATATCTTCCTTTCAGTTAAGAAAGCCTCTGATTGAGCGAAAGCGAAGGGAAAGGATTAACAACTGCTTGGAGCAACTGAAGGAAGCAGTCGTTGGTGCATTTTGTTTGGACGTAAGTGTTGAGTTTGTCATGTCTTCCCCCCCAACCCCCTTTATTTTCTAAAAAAACAAGCCCAGCATCATACAAAACAGTTCTTCTTTACTGACCTACTTTTTTTTTAAATAGCAATCTAAACTTGAAAAAGCAGATATCCTTGAAATGACAGTAAAGCATCTCCAGAATATCCAAAACAACAAGATCATGGGTGAGTTTCTTGTTTTTGCATTTTTCTTTTATTCACTGCATCTTTCAGATGTGGAATTTATTTCCAACCCTGGGCGGGGGCTGCATTTTTAATCAAGTAATGTTTTTTGCAAAAACTTCTTTCAAACCTGATGACACAGAATGTCTATTACTGGCATATCTTCTAGTTTCTACTCTTTGCCACTAGAGGGGAATCTAAAGCCAATGCCTTTCAGTAGATGGGTTAAGTTTGTTTTTTTTCCATCAATGATATTCTCTTTCGTTTTAGCCTTGTGCCACAATTTATAACAGCAATGAAATCAGAATTGTGGTACCCTGCTTTTTGGAATGAAGTTGTGACCAACTTTTTACTGCTTGATTTTATTTTTTCCAACCACAATGATCCTTATGGAAAAGCCCTAAAGAACTGATTAGGGGTTAAATCAATAGGGGCTTTATAGCAATTTAATTTAAAACCTATAGAATTCAAGAGAGAGTTATATTCTTTCTGTAGAATTTTTAAACTATCCTATAGAATCCAGACTAGAATGCTAACCCTGTTATGGAATCACACAGGATGGTTTCAAGCCCATAGCTGTTATATAGTAACCAAGGCTATCATTCTCAGTTAAGTTCTATAGGAATTTTCCAGAAGAGGCAATATATTATGAACTTGTTGAATGCTTGTTTAGTCAAACGTAATGTACTGCTAGCCCTGTGCACTTAAATGACTTGAATTGTCTCCTGTTCTAATGCAGCAGATTCCAAAGTGAGTCTCGAAGCTCAGCAGAGGTACAGCACTGGATATATTCAGTGTATGCATGAGGTTCACAACCTCCTCCTGACCTGTGAATGGATGGACAAGACTCTTGGGGCACGATTATTAAATCATCTCCTGAAATCCTTACCCAGATCCAGCGAGGAGACCTGCAAAGCAGCCTTAAGGTCCTCGCCTCCAGCTCACCAGGCCCACACAGTGCAGAAATCCCCTATCTGCAAGAAGGGGAATACCTCAGGGTCAAGTCCATCTCAGGACCAGTTCTATTCTGTGGAGGAAAAACAAGCTTTGAAAAATTCATTTCAACCACAACCACTATCTCTCTTTAGTCAGCCTGATGTGTCACCTTCCAGCCAGATCCTACGGCCAAATTTTTCTCATAATAACCCTAGTATGGGATCATTAGATATGTGGAGACCATGGTAAAATGTATTTTATATTTTCCCTTCTAATCTTAGACACTTCTATATGTATCTTATAGATATGCCTCTTTAAAACACCTGTGGAGCAAATCTGTTCCAGTAGGTGTACTAAAGACCAGGGTACTTCAAGCCGAAGTAAACCTAAACGTAGCCTGCATTATAGAAGGCTGCTATTATTTTGTATTTATTTAATACATATAAGTTATTGTATAGAACCTCTTTTGGGCTTTTAGTGTACATTAATTATATAACTTTCTTATTTTCTTATGTTATTAAAATAATTAACATCTAATTAATAAAACAGAACTAAGGAAATACTGTCTTTTGCATTTTGGTTTCTGCCCACATTTCTTTCAGATCTCACTTAAACTACTGAGATCATGTCCTTGAAGGAAAGAGGACAGGCTACACCCATTACTTCAGTGCAGTGGAAGTAACAAAAAGGAGAATTTAGCGCTAGCCTTCTGGAAATGCAACATTCATTCTAAAAGCTTGGTCTTCAAATTTTTAATATTAATATACATTTAATCAGCGTTCTCTGTATTACCTGTTAAAACTAGGCTATAACATGTTCACTTGAAGAGACAGTGTTTTATAAAGAGCCAAGTAGATAGTGGCTTCTGTTTATTAACAAAAATATATTGTCTGGTGCTTTGTATCTAAATTTTTTTAAAAAAAGTATAAATAAGTATTTGAAAGTTCAACACTGAAGTTTCCCTGTCTACTTTTCTTCTCTCCATTGGGCATGCACAATGATCTGTTCTTGTAAGGTTGTTCCTAGGTGCTTGGCTGTTAGTTTTTGTTGTTCAGAAAAAGCAGCTCGCTGCACACATGTGCAAATCTGAAGAATTAAATGAATCTTGTTAACATATGAGATTGTAAAAAGGTCAGATGTTGAGCCCATCAACCTTGACAAATTCTTTAGGTTATACTAGTGAGCAAATTCCAGACAGGATATAAAGACCAGAAGGTAAGATTCCCTGCAAATCCTACCAATAAGTCTGGGAGGAATCTGCTCAACTTGTAGACAACATTTGGTCACAGTTTTTCAAGTCAAAGGCAGTTAAAACTTCTTTACAGTTAAAAGAGCAAGGGATCTCTTAAACAAACACTCTGCATACTAATTAATGACACCCCCTCCCCAACAGGGGACTAATTATGCAGACTGATCTGTTTGATGATGTGTTGAAAGAGTGAAAGTCATCACCTTGGGTTTTAGCATCTCTGTGAAGCTCTCCCCTTTTATCCAGCCCTCTTGAAAAGCCATTAGAAATGGTAGCACAGGGATGGCAGGAGTAACAACTGGCTTACATGAAAAGAGGGTCCATTATAGAATGCAGGCACAATGCTGAAACTGTGGTTTCTGAAGCAACTCCTTTAGAAACATTGAATTGTACAAATCTATCAGTGGCCTAAATTTCTTCCTAAATTGATCACTTGTCATTGCTTCTCCATTCTGGAACAAGCCTTCCAGATGAAAGGTAACCTCACCAATGGCTCGGAATATAGATAACATGGCCCAGTCCAGCTCCTACTGAAGTCAATGGAAAGACTCCGACTGAGTAGAATGGAAATTAGAGCAGATCCATTCATCCAGTGGAGACAATATCAATATAAAATAAACATAGGCAATGAAAATTCCTTACTATTATTACTAATACCACCCCAAGTTATTAGAAGTGAAAGAATATTAAGCATCTGTACAGCTTATTGTTTATATTTGTACACTTCAGAGAGTTTGGAATAAGGCCCCAATCCTGCATCAAGCTCCACTACTGCAGTCCCTTGGTGTCAAGTCCCAGGGGCTCCATGTGGTGTAGGCATCCAGGGTAGCAGATGCATATACAGGATCAGGGTCAAAGCTGGTCAGTTTCCCTTTTGTTTCTAGTCAGTTTCACTTTCCCATGTAGTAGTTTGGGTTCACAACATCACAGGGGGATATTTAACTAAAAATATTATTTAAACTGAATATTCTAATGTCATGAAAATATTGATAATAGGTTTTGATACCATCAATTTAAAAAAAAAAACTTTTATCTGAAAACTGTATATCCACTACTGTTATGAGTAACACCTAAAGTTATTGTAACTGAAAAAGATTAGCAACAGAAGAGAGAAACTTTTTTTTTTAAATAGGAAGTAGGAGTGGAAAACTTGGCATACTGAAACCCAATGAGAACTGGAGCTAGAAGAATCTCTTGCAGGATACTCATTTGAAATAAAGGGGATGTTCCTTAAAGGAAGGCAAATGATTTGCAATAGTTTGCCCACATACAGGTGTATATTATTTGTGTGTAGCAAAATGATTCTACATTTATTTCAAATCATTTAACTTTATAAAGCTTAATATATTACAACAACAGTATTAATCATCTACTTTGTACATAACTAGCCCTTTCAGCTGAGGATCCCAAAGTGTATTGCATACTCTTATCTAAGGTGATCAGATAGCAACTGTGAAAAAACAGGACAGGGGCTGGCGGGTAATAGGCACCTACATAAGAAAAAGTCCCCAAAAAGGGGACATCTGGTCACCCTACTCTTATCCCCATTTTACACATGGGGAACTAAGGCTCAGAGAGGTTAAGTGACTTGTCCCAAATCACACAGTGGGTGTGCCTATGCTAGAAAAATTAGTGCCCATATTACAGCAGCAGCCATCAACAGTGCAGCTCCACTGATGCTAAACCATCAGTATCAATGTTTCCATCTACCTCCTATTTCGATGGAGACGCCCTATTTTGACACATATATCCCACATCCTGTAAGATACTGATTAAGCTTGTCAGATAAAGTACAGTCACAAGCTGACTTAGGTTAGTAAAGAATCCCCTGAGTGCATTGCAGAGCTCTGATGGCATGTCGTGGATTTATGCTGCTTGTTGTGCCCTAACATGGTGCAATTTCATTACAGCAATAGTGAGGTTACATTGCAATGTTGTGTTTCAAGATGAGACTGAGCCACAGTTGGATCCAAAATTTCCCTAAAGTTTGGGAGTTTTCAGAGCCAAGGTTTTAGTTTGGCTCATTTTAGGACAGTACTAAGACGTGCTTAAATTTAGGCGTGAGCTTATGTCCCACTGATTTAAATGAGATCTAAATATGTGTTGATGTGCTGTCCTGAATAGGAGAGTTTTTGTGAACTGGACCTTAAAAGATAGGCACCAGCTGCTAAGTTTGGGTCTGGATTCAGACTTTCCTATGCAGCTGTTCTTGCAGGTGTTCGGAGCTGGGGTTTGGTCCAGACAATAGCTGTAAGGCAATATCATGTAGCTGTAAGGCAATATCATCACATATTTATGCAATGCTTTGGGTGCAGCAGGACAAATCCAAACAGGTAGCAATTCTATGTGTATGATTGTGACAGGTTGATCCACTCGTCACACGGATAGCACATCCTCCTGGCCGCATTATCTGGATCTGCAGACCCTCCAGCTAAGCCATTATTGCGGTTTCCCCTTCCGAGGGAAAAAGTCTCGTCTCCCAGATAGTCTTCCTATTCACTACCCCACCAGTGCCACTTCCACAATGGCTGGTTGGGGAACCAGGGCCCACCCTGTACTCCGGATTCCAGCTCAGGGACCCCCTAATCAACAGCCAAGGCCTCTTCCACCCTTGCTGCATGTCCCTGAGCCCTTTCCTAGTCCTCTGGCTCTCCCTTCCTTCTCTGGGTCTGCCAGCTTCACTGCTCCTTCCTCCCAGGGAGTGTCTGCAGCCTTTCCCAGAAGCCCCCTCTTTTGTTAGCTTCCTAGCTTATATAAGCCCCGCCTATTCCTGCACAGGTGAGCTTCTTCTAATTAAGACTTCTTTCATAGTCTCAATTCCCCGCAACTTGCTGCCTAATAAGCTAATCAGCCCCTCTGGCCTGCCTTAACACTTTTAGGGTAAGTGTGGGGAGGACATCCCATCAAAGTGATCAGTGGGCCCAGTCCAGCTTGCACTGAAGTCAATTGCATTGCCTTCAAAGGGAACAAGATCAGATCCTTTAACAGGTACCCAGGAGGTACATGTATCGCACTGAACCCATGACCCTGTATGCTTCCTACTATATGGTCTTGTCTCAAAACATACACATACTCAACCCTCTGGGAGGCCTGACGATCCCTATATTTTCCTTCACTTCATACTCTCAAGGCTTCACATGGGAACAGCCATCTTTCTGGCCAGGAATGGCCAGATGGTATCGCCAGTGCAACCAGTCCAAGCTCCACTTCAATGGGCTGGAACAGGTGAGGCTGAAAGACACTACAAGATTCTATCTCCTGCTGGGCTCTGCTTTGGCCAAAAACATAAAATGAACAAACTAGTTAAAAGCCAAATTTTCATCCTCCATATTTTGCACCTACAATTTTGCATATGCAAATTCTTACAAAGAATAGAACATAGACACACACCAACCTGACCACTTCTACAAGACAAGTTGTGAGACATCTAAATCCTCGGCAGTCACAAGTGATTGGACTTGTAAAACAATAACTACTGGTGCACAAATGAAGGGGCCGATTTTGAACATTTAACCATCATGCCTAATTTGGGGGAAGGAGGCTAAAATTTAAAAAAATAGCTTTTGTTCATTGTATAGCTGCACACATACATATGTCTCCCATTATACCATGTATATGTTCATAGTCATTTCATTTTTAGTCTTTTGGTTTAATAGAAACAATGCTGCTTCGGGGACCTAAATCAAAGTTTGTTCCTGCATTCTGAGCTATCCCATAAACACTGATAATATATAAGCATAGGCTAGTCCTGCATCTGTAGCCTCTCCACATTTCACTTATGTTGTTGGTCTACCCATGGTGAGAGCCAGGCTCAGCCTTAAACCATCTCCTAGTGAAACACATGACATTTTGTCTGTGAAATTTGGTCATGGATGTATCAGAACATGACTGTTCATCATGATGTGATGTCTCCAGTGGTTTGTGTGAGACCTGGAGTTGGGTATAACGAATCCCACTATATATCCCGTAGCGTGAAAAAATGTCTGGGACAATTAGAATG